CCCTCCCTCCCTCCCTCCCTCACTCACTCACTCACTCACTCACTCACTCACTCACTCACTCACTCACTCACTCACTCACTCACTCACTCACTCACTCACTCACTCACTCACTCACTCACTCAAAGAGACTGCAAACACATATTTGTTAGAAAAAAAATGTATATGCAATACAATAATCAATATAGCCATGTCAGTGTTTTATAACAGTACACACGTAAAAAAAAATGATCAGAGTAACACCTGTTATAAAGCTATTTCTGATGTTCTCTGCATGAGAATGCTGCACCTTGTCCTCCATGCCAGTAGTTCAGATCTGCTCCAGCTTACCTTAGATCATCTGGATGAATTCTTGATTTCTGTAGAAGATATTAATTCAACCTTTATTTAAACAGGTTCGTCCCATTGAGCCACGAGGACTCATTTACAAGAGAGACCTGAATATAATTGTTGTATTTGCCGTTTTTTATGGCAGCCAAGTACCTGGATAACTGAGTAGATTGTGCTTGTAGCCTGACAACTATTGTAAAATTGTAATTCATTGATTAAAATGTTAATTTAAATGAAACTGTTTCTAGTTAAAATCACAACAGATGACAAAATAAGTGTTAATTGTGCAAAAATAAATTTCCAAACAATTTATTATAAAATATGTAAAATGTAAAACAACCTTTAATAAAGTACTTTTACTGCCATTTATACTGTTTATTAATGACGTCATCTCAAGTCAGCAGGAGCAACCTCACCATCATCACAACAACACAAACTGAGTGCTGTAAATTTAATCTGCACAAACATTTTCAATCAGGGCTCAAATTGTTTGTGTCAAAGAAATGTGCAAGAAAATAAACTAATGTCACTCTACAGGCACATTTAGAGAGAGGACAGTTCACAGAGACACAGTCAGGTCGTGTGAGACTGAAGGAGGTTCAACCATTTGTTCATCGACCAGAACCAAATGAGAAGAACAGCATAACTTCCACTGCATGTTAATCCATTGACCAGTGATCTGACCAGTGATCACACATATTGTTCTAAATTAAACTTTGGTACGAACAGTGTTAAATAAGACATGTCATTTTTTTATTGAACATTAATCTTCAGTCTAACAGTGACGTTGTAATTTCAGAGACTGAGGAAGAAAGAAACAGAAATGAGGCAAGTGAGATGAGGGAAAGATGAAAATGTGTCCTCAGAGGACAGGGACATGTCAGGAACTGATGATCCAGGATCAACAGGACCAGGAGGATGGATCAACAGGCAGTCAGGGAACAGAGATAAAACACCTGAGGGAACAATTAGAACACAAAAAAATACATAAGCAGGATAGAAGAACTTCACAGACAAAAAAATTAATGCAGTCCTGCGAAGAAAAATGTTAATGGAAAATAAATTGACATATTTTTACAAAAGATCAGATGAAGACAACTGGCATGAAGAATAACTTCCAGCTCCATCTCAATGTACCTGTGATAGTTTAATAAGTTGTTTTGTTACTGTTCTACAGTTTATTGATGCTGATATATTCTTGTAATAATTCTCATTTCTTGTTCTGTCTTGAAAGAGAGTGTCATCTCAACTTGACCCATGATTACCATATGCTAAACTAATAATATAAAACAAAAGTAATTTAACAATCCTGCTGTAAATACCAACTTTGTGAAAGTTATGATGTTAAATTAATTTTATTCAAACATCTTGATTAAGCTGTTATTGATTTGGGAAGACAGAAAATGAAATCTTGTTACCATTCTAATACTTTGAATGCAACATTCAGTTCACTGAAGTCATTCTCCTGTGGTTTACCTGGAAAACATGAAAAAAATTGACTCATTTCCACAATCACGTTTTTTCTTTAATGATAATGTCACAATTTATGCTACAGTCTTCAGCAAATGATCTATAACTTTAACTAAGTTACGTCAATCTTGTTGTCATGTTGTCATCATTCTTTGTTGAAATCAGGTCTCTCTTGTAAATGAGTCCTTGAGGCTCAATGGGATTTACCTGTCTAAATAAAGGTTGAATGAATCTCTCAGGAAAAAAAAGGCCAAATATTTTGTAGTTGAGTTCAGTAACTGGAATTACCATAAATTTAAAAAAGACCACCTTTCGAAATTTAAGCAGTAATGGATATTTTAAAACGCTGAATTAGACAGAAATCGACCCGTTTAAACCGTCATGTTGTCAGAGCAGCTGCAGTTAAAACACAACTAGCAATTTAACATGTTTCATTAACTAAAACTGGCGACATGAAGTATTAATGTTGATAAATTGTGGTACAGAACAGTCAGATAACGCTTCACAATGGCAAAAAAAGTGTCGTATTTTCATCAACTTACTGGAGAAAACATGGAGAATGAACTACGTTCAATGCTGGAACCGCTGCTGTTTGGAACTATTTGCCGCTGCATGACCCACGTGACTTCCGCATTCCATTCGTTCTATGGGAGTCTATGGGAGTGTCGCAACTCTCTCTTTATAGGGCTCTGTACCTACCTACCTACCCACCCACCCACCTACTGTGATTCCCTTACAGGTAGTGGGCAGCCAGACACACAACTCAGTCAGATTTGATCCTTTCATGTTGTAGCTCATATCATCAGGAGATTGCACACATTTGAGATTGAAATGAATTTGAACAGAAATATGTGGCAGCTTTCATCTTTTTCCACTTTTTCATCTGAATCGAGCTCATGTGTGGCAGATAAAACAGGCATCATAAGGGGTTTTGCGTAGCTTTCAGTGTGTGACAATCATGTCAAGATGTGATTGAACTTAGCTGGTGCGGTAAAATACACAAAGCTTCTTCAAACACATCGACTCAGTCTTTTTGACCGATCCTCAAATGTATCTAGGCACCATTTTTTGGATATTTATAAAAAAAAATGTATGGCTTTAGGTGAATATTATATTTCAATTCATAAGTGCTTATTTTTGCAACCAGCCTATCTTATCAAAAACAAATGAGTCGTTCACTGTTTAAGATTTTCCTTTTATTAATACAAAGTTTATGTTTGCTACTATAAACCATAAAGAAGAAGCTTGTTGCAGACGAGCAAAGTTTAGCTGTGCTAACCTCTAGCTGTTCTGTCTGCTTGTTCCTCTGTTTCCCTCTGCAGGAGCCTGTCTCTACTCCTGCCATATATGAAGAGCCACTTGCTGACTTCAAGGTTATTCCTTAAATATGTTTCCACATGCTCACCCATCATTTGCTTTTCTCTGGATCTCCCTTAGTTCTTTTTGTTGATGTGCATGCATGCTAACCTTCTACTACAACTTTTTCTTGACCTAAAAAAATAAAAAAAAATAAAAAATCAGTAAATATATATTTTTTTCATCCATCATCCCTGTTAAAGACGTGAGCCGATCAAACTCATAAAACCAGTCTAGATTGAACATATCTTAACATCCCAACAAATGCATGTGTGAGTTAGAAGCAGAGACATTTATGATTAGAAAATGCTAGCATGTTGTAGTTTACATAGCAATTTTATGATGGCTATTTTAATGCATGTTACTTTCTTAAAGTTTCATTAACTTATCACCCACTTATGAAAACGCAAAGGAGAAGATGTGTCTGTCCATGTCTGTGCATGTGTGTTTGTTTTTCTTTCCATATAGCAAAATATCTTATGCTGGAAATATTTTACTGAAACTCTTAGAAAGTAAATACTGGATGTCATAGGCATCACACTAGTTATATGTGAAGGGGAAGTGTCACCCTCACATTTTAAAAAAATATTTGTTTGGGACACCCCCCCTCCCACACACACACACACACACACACACACACACACACACACACACACACCCACACACCCACACACCCACACACACATTTACCATGACATATTAGTTCACACAGCACTGCTTCTGTTTCTTCATGAACAAATCCCTTTCACTTCATTAATAGGAGAATACTTAAACCACTAAAAGCCCAATCCGGGTTTTCCTGGTTACCTACAACAACTCACCTCATGCAGTGTTTCTTCAAGGTCACTTGCCTTGGCAGGATACTCATCTCTTTGGGTTTTTTTGTCGACAGTGCAGGGTGAGGAGGGGGTTAGGATGTGTGAAAAATGCTACATCTGTAGCATCTTAGCTAGCTTGCCTGTATTGCACACCACTATCTTAGCGCTTAGTGCCAGCAGCTGTTAACCAGGGTGGGGGTTAGGATGTGTGAGAGAAGCAGAGTGTGCCGTATTCACACAAGGAGAGCTGTTGGTCAGGGTACTTCTTATGTCATGCTCTCTAAAATAATTTAATGAATCAAGTGTTTACTTATGTAGGTAAATATAGATGTTTAACAACCCGTTAAAATACACCAGAATGCAGGAAATGGTATCTACTGCATTCACAAATTTCTGGAGCATGACCTCCAGACCCCCTACCAGTGTATCACCCACCCCCCACATTAAAAATGCTTCTGACACTGGATGTATTGTACAACTGATTAACATTTGGAGTACCCGTAGATCTAACTCAAGATGGCTGCCCTGGTGGTCTGGGGGTTGTCCCCTAGAAAATTTTGAATGAAGTACATGCCATTTCCTGGATTCTGGTGTATTTTACCAAGGTTTATTACAGTAGATTAACATGAAACAAAATGTGTCAACTCAATCATTAGTCTCTATGACTGCAAAGCTGCAGCTCTGCAGGTAAGGGGCATTCACTTACATATTGAGTTTGCCGGTTGGTCAGTTGCTGACGTGCCTATTGGATTGATTAACAAGTTGCACAACTCATGCAAAAAAATCATAGATTTTACTGTCCTGTGACAGTCATCATTTATTCCATCCATCCATTATCTATACCCACTTATTCCATTTTTGGGTCACGGGGGTCGCCGGTGCCCATGTCCAGCAATCACTGTGCGAGAGGCGGGGTACACCCTGGATGGGTCGCAAGTCCATCACAGGGCCACATAGAGACAAACGAGACAAACAACCATTCACTCTCTCACTCACACCTAGGGACAATTTAGAGTTACCAATCAGCCTAACATGCATGTTTTTGGTCTGTGGGAGGAGACCGGAGCACCTGGAGAAAACCCACGCATGCACAGAGAGAACATGCAAACTCCATCCAGAAAGGCCCCTGGACCGGGGTTTGAACCAAGGACCAGCTCGCTGAGAGGCAGCAGCTCTACCAGTTGCGCCACCATGCTGCCCTACTT